ACACACACACATATATATATATATATATATATATATATATATATATATATATATACACTGTATATCTTGAACACTATTATTTACCTTTTCCCCCTAAAAAATAAACCTCACTAAATGCTAGTAAAAACAACACCAAAAACACACAAACAAAAAAATTATTCTCTGAAAATAAGTCTTAATATCTTATGCAACTTTGTTCCTCAAGTAAATGTATCTTGTTGTTAGGATGCTTAAATATTTTAAATGAAAAATAAATCAATATTTTTATATATATGTACATATATATATACATACTGGGGGTGGCACTAGTGGTGCAGAAATTACCTTGACTAGAAAAATCCAGATCTTTGCAAAACAGACACTAAATAAAATATCTGCCTTCAAGCAGTGTAAAAAAATGGCTTGAGGAAAGATTGGATGACTTTCCAAAGCTGGCCACAATCCAAAATAATAGGTGAAGACTGTCAGCCGCACACTCAGTTCTAGCACTTGACTCACTGCGTGAATCAGATCAGCACAGACATTGCCAACAACCCTAATGTGCGTCAATGACGAGGCCCAAGAACTGAGAGTACCAGAGAGCATTTATGACTGTCTCTCTCCCCCTGATAAATATGTACTCCTTAGGAGTGTTTATAAGCCTCTGGACTCATGTTGCGCTTTTAGGCGTCTGGTCCCTCCATCTTGGAGGAAGCCGAGAAAAATAGTTCACTCAACACTTGCCACAGAGTAAAGCAACCAACTCACATGAATGATGACACCTTTGTCCAACAGGCTCTGCTTCTTAGCTGTCATGACAAAGTAATGTGTTTTGTCTTTGTAGTAGACAATGTTCTCAAGATCAATCCCTACGAAAGAGACAAAATTGTGGTATTACTTAAATCTGTGTAACTCATCTGTAACATCTTTATGCCTGTAATATGACATAACGAATCTCATGAGGTCAGAGTGAGTTTAATACAGGATTTTAAAGGAATTCAGTTTCAAAGGGGTACAAGTCACGGCAGGTATACAAAGCATACGTAAATGTGTTTGAAGGGAGGAAGCACATAATCCCCGGAGGATAAACATTTACGTGACAAATCAGTGCAAGAAGACGATAACTGAAATATGGCCGCTCCGAACAGCAGATAACACTGACACGCTTATGGAAAACATCGCAGGAAATGCCGGGAAGAGGTGAAAGTACATAGTTGAGAGGGTTGGGAGATTTTTAATAAATATTAATTAATATTTATTGATAAATATTTATTTATAAAATAAATATTGGGAGCTGGATGCTTAGTTTAGACTAATGTGGTGTATTTTTAGTGGCTAATGAGGCACATATTGCTCACCAGTTTCCTGTCTGAGATCCTGAAAGAATTTCTGGTTGAAGATGAAGGCAACTCCACTTATCTCCTCGACCTTTGCCTCAGCGGTGGTGTTTCTGTTGATAAAGTTTGCTGTTATGGCGATGGCCAGTTTGCCACGAAATTCCTTCCTCCTAAATCCTGAGAAAGAGAGAAAGAAGAAGGGGGAAAAACAAGGGGAAAAGGGTTTAGTAGTTTATAACGTTGCATTTGTTTCCTCGTGTTTGATAGAGGTAAACTAATGCAGCACAAACATGTCACTCTACCAGTATTACAAGCCCATTTTTTTGGTTCACAGATGCTCAGTTAAACCAGCGGCAAAGTCCACAATGAATACTGCCCATTTGAAGATATTTAATATAATTATATATTATATTTAAAAGAAGAAGATATTTAAGACAATTAATATTCAGTAATATTATCAATTTAACTGTACTGACACTATTGAATGAGAAAATTTGAACTGAATTAAGCTGGATAATGACACAAACTTTACAACATCGACACATACTAAACTGAACTGAAACAACACTGAACTAAATTGAGCTGAATTATGACACTATTGTTTAATATTTAGAGCTGCTTTAAAGCTGAAATCGAATTTGTTTCATAATTTATGAATTTTACCCTAAGATAAGATAACGATTTAAGATTATCTTAGATCTAAAAGATTTAAGATAAGCCTGCGGAGAATCGCTCCTGCAGAAACTCCAGAACTGAACTAACTGGGTAGTTGACTGGGTCCTGCAGTCGTTTCCGCGAACAGATTCACTTCCGCCTGGCTGAACTCCTTCCAAAGGAGCTCCACCACCTCATGGTCCGGCCACTCATGACCGCTCCCCAACCCGTGAAGGGGGCGTCCGTTGTTAGTGTTACACGACGACAAGGAGTCCCCAACACCGGGCCTTGAGACAGGAACCAAGGTTTCTTCCACATGTCTAAGGCACGTAAGCACCACCGTGTGACCTTGATCGTGCGAAGTGGGTTTCCCTTCGAGGAAAACCCCTTGGTCCTGAGCCACCACTGCAAGGGTCTCATGTATTTCCTGTCTGAGATCCTGAAAGAATTTCTGGTTGAAGATGAAGGCAACTCCACTTATCTCCTCGACCTTTGCCTCAGCGGTGGTGTTTCTGTTGATAAAGTTTGCTGTTATGGCGATGGCCAGTTTGCCACGAAATTCCTTCCTCCTAAATCCTGAGAAAGAGAGAAAGAAGAAGGGGGAAAAACAAGGGGAAAAGGGTTTAGTAGTTTATAACGTTGCATTTGTTTCCTCGTGTTTGATAGAGGTAAACTAATGCAGCACAAACATGTCACTCTACCAGTATTACAAGCCCATTTTTTTGGTTCACAGATGCTCAGTTAAACCAGCGGCAAAGTCCACAATGAATACTGCCCATTTGAAGATATTTAATATAATTATATATTATATTTAAAAGAAGAAGATATTTAAGACAATTAATATTCAGTAATATTATCAATTTAACTGTACTGACACTATTGAATGAGAAAATTTGAACTGAATTAAGCTGGATAATGACACAAACTTTACAACATCGACACATACTAAACTGAACTGAAACAACACTGAACTAAATTGAGCTGAATTATGACACTATTGTTTAATATTTAGAGCTGCTTTAAAGCTGAAATCGAATTTGTTTCATAATTTATGAATTTTACCCTAAGATAAGATAACGATTTAAGATTATCTTAGATCTAAAAGATTTAAGATAAGCCTGCGGAGAATCGCTCCTGCAGAAACTCCAGAACTGAACTAACTGGGTAGTTGACTGGGTCCTGCAGTCGTTTCCGCGAACAGATTCACTTCCGCCTGGCTGAACTCCTTCCAAAGGAGCTCCACCACCTCATGGTCCGGCCACTCATGACCGCTCCCCAACCCGTGAAGGGGGCGTCCGTTGTTAGTGTTACACGACGACAAGGAGTCCCCAACACCGGGCCTTGAGACAGGAACCAAGGTTTCTTCCACATGTCTAAGGCACGTAAGCACCACCGTGTGACCTTGATCGTGCGAAGTGGGTTTCCCTTCGAGGAAAACCCGTTAGACCTGAGCCACCACTGCAAGGGTCTCATGTACAGCAGGCCAAAAGGTATCATGTTGGACGCAGCTGCCTTCCGACCCAACAGTCTCTGAAACTGTTTGACAGTGAGTGACTGGCCTTCTCTCACTTCCCTCACGGCTGTGAGAATCTCTTCGATACGAGCAGGAGACAACTGTGCCTGCATCATTGTCGAAATGTGCAACGTGAAATGATGGCCTTCCCACAGACCTCAGGCGGAACGGCCACTCATGACGCTCCCCAGCCCATGAGGGAGGCGTCCGTCGTTAGCGTTACACGACGACAAGGAGCCCCCAGCTACAGGCCTTGAGACAGGAACCAAGGTTTCTTCCACATGTCTAAGGCACGTAAGCATCGCCGCGTGACCGTGATCGTGTGAAGCAGGTTCCCCATCTGGGGAAATCCCCTTGGTTCTGAGCCACTCATTATTACATTATTATTATTATTATCCCCTCACGGCTGTCAGAATCGCTTCGATACGAGCAGGAGACAAATGTGCCTGCATCGTTGTCGAATCCCACACCACGCCCAGATAAGTGGTTCTCTGTAGCGGAGAAAGCGCACTTTTCTTGACGTTTAGCCGTAAACCCCAGCTCTTTCATATAGGTGAGGACGACATTTGGATGCCGAGCCACCATCTGCAATTCCTTCCTCCTAAATCCTGAGAAAGAGAGAAAGAAGAAGGGGGAAAAACAAGGGGAAAAGGGTTTAGTAGTTTATAACGTTGCATTTGTTTCCTCGTGTTTGATAGAGGTAAACTAATGCAGCACAAACATGTCACTCTACCAGTATTACAAGCCCATTTTTTTGGTTCACAGATGCTCAGTTAAACCAGCGGCAAAGTCCACAATGAATACTGCCCATTTGAAGATATTTAATATAATTATATATTATATTTAAAAGAAGAAGATATTTAAGACAATTAATATTCAGTAATATTATCAATTTAACTGTACTGACACTATTGAATGAGAAAATTTGAACTGAATTAAGCTGGATAATGACACAAACTTTACAACATCGACACATACTAAACTGAACTGAAACAACACTGAACTAAATTGAGCTGAATTATGACACTATTGTTTAATATTTAGAGCTGCTTTAAAGCTGAAATCGAATTTGTTTCATAATTTATGAATTTTACCCTAAGATAAGATAACGATTTAAGATTATCTTAGATCTAAAAGATTTAAGATAAGCCTGCGGAGAATCGCTCCTGCAGAAACTCCAGAACTGAACTAACTGGGTAGTTGACTGGGTCCTGCAGTCGTTTCCGCGAACAGATTCACTTCCGCCTGGCTGAACTCCTTCCAAAGGAGCTCCACCACCTCATGGTCCGGCCACTCATGACCGCTCCCCAACCCGTGAAGGGGGCGTCCGTTGTTAGTGTTACACGACGACAAGGAGTCCCCAACACCGGGCCTTGAGACAGGAACCAAGGTTTCTTCCACATGTCTAAGGCACGTAAGCACCACCGTGTGACCTTGATCGTGCGAAGTGGGTTTCCCTTCGAGGAAAACCCCTTGGTCCTGAGCCACCACTGCAAGGGTCTCATGTACAGCAGGCCAAAAGGTATCATGTTGGACGCAGCTGCCTTCCGACCCAACAGTCTCTGAAACTGTTTGACAGTGAGTGACTGGCCTTCTCTCACTTCCCTCACGGCTGTGAGAATCTCTTCGATACGAGCAGGAGACAACTGTGCCTGCATCATTGTCGAATCCCACACCACGCCCAGATAAGTGGTTCTCTGTAGCGGAGAAAGCGCACTTTTCTTGACGTTTAGCCGTAAACCCCAGCTCTTTCATATAGGTGAGGACGACATTTGGATGCCGAGCCACCATCTGCTCTGACTGAGCTAATATCAACCAATTGTCGATGTAATTCAGTATGTGGATGCCCTGGAGTCACAACGGAGCCAAGGCAGCATCCACACACTTTGTGAAAGTGTGGGGTGAGAGTGACAGGCTGAATGGAAGAACCCGATACTGAAATGCTTCGCCCCCGAAAGCAAACCTCAGGAACTTCCTGTTTTGAGAAAGGATAGATACATGGAAGTATGCGTCCTTGAGATCTATCATGATAAACCAGTCCTCTGACCTGATTTGAGATCTGACACGATCTGTTTGATAGTAAGCATCTTGAACCAAAATCATTTGATAGCACGGTTCAGTAGACGCAGATCTATGATTGGACGCAACCCCCCATCCTTCTTCGGAATGATGAAGTAAAGGCTGTAGAACCCTGATTCCCTCTCGAGAAGAGGAACACGTTCTATGGCCTCCTTCCTCAAAAGAGTTTCTACTTCTTGTTCCAATACCAGAGCCTGCTCGGGGCCCACTAACGTAAGAATTGAAAGCGAGGTGGACGAGAACCGAACTGAATTCTATAACCTCTCTCTACAGTGTGCAGGACCCATTGTGAGACATTTGAAAGTCTACTAAGAGAACCAGTCTCTCGAGACTGGCCTCTGGTGTCACTAGAGGAGCCACACTTTGGTGCCCTGAAGCAAATTACCAGCAGGGAATGACCGACCTGACTGCTCTAGCGCCCTCATCTGAGGGGACGAGCTTTCCCGTGCCATACCGTCACCGAGCGACAGCTGGGAAATTCGATCGTCGGAGCTCACTGAGCCCTGAAGCACTGGGGGTAGCAGGGGCATCAGTGAAGCCCCCTGAGGGCACTGAGGAGGATCGGGCACGGTATACTGAGGTGTGTACCTCTCCTACCCAGGGTGGGCTGCCCTCAAGGTCAGGACCACTTGGCCGAGGTCCTCTTAGACATCATAACGGTCTGCAGATCCGTTTTCTGCTTCGAGGACCCCGACCGAGAGCGCTGCCCCACCCCCTGGTCTTTTTGCGGGGGAGTACGGGTCGCGACACTGTTTCTGGGTCTGGCGATATGAGGAGCTGGACGGCTGGGACTGCTCTTGCTCAGCAGTCCCAAAAACCTGGGAACGGCGAGGGAGGAAGTGTTGGAACGCCGCCACCTGCTTCTTCGCCTCCTGAAACCTCTTGACGACAGTATCGACTGTGCCGCCGAAGAGGCCAGAAGGCGATAGCGGGGCATCCAGCAGGAAAAATCTGTCCTTATCCTGTAATTCGGACAGAATCAACCACAGGTGCCGCTCCATGGCCACCAATGCTGCCATTGAACGGCCGATGGCTCTGGCCATTTCTTTAGTGGCCCGAAGTGACAGATCTGTGGCGTAGTTCGGCGACTATGTCGGATTCCTCTTCATCCCTATCATCCAGGTCTTTAAGCAGGTCGACCTGGTACGCCTGCAACACCGCCATAGTGTGCAGACACGCACCGGCCTGACATGCCACAGTATAAGCTTTCCCAACCAGGTTAGATGTCAGCTTTACTGGCCTGGTGGGAGGTTTCAGGGCCTTCAGGAATGATGCTGAGGACGGGGAGAGATAACTCGTAAGTGTCTGCTCCACCGCCGACATCACCCCATAACCCTTCTCATAACCCTCTAACATGTGCGCTTGCTGGATGCGCCTTTATGCTTCCTGGTTGCTCAAGTCACCCCGCTTGTGACATCTCGCATCTCTATTGGACTGATTTCACAAATGCTTCAGAACATGGTCTCGCCGAGGGCGTTCCCAAAGCGTTCAACGCAGCTCGAGTTCCTGAAAGGGAACTGCGATTTTTGAAATTGCCTTTTAAATGGAGGACTTTCAAAACTTTATTTTTTGTAATGCATGTGGACAGGTTAAGTGGAGATGCTGGAATTTTGTAACATCACAAACACAACTTGCAAATGATGTCAGAATTTTCATTTCTGGGTGAACTATCCCTTCAATCACTGAATATGAATATACTGAGTCTGTGAAGTAAATCTCTGCCGTTGCAAATGTCTATAATATTCATCTGTAGTTTTTATAGCCCTTATGCATTTTTTAAGGATCTAGAGATTTCCTAAGACACTGCTAATGTGCATAACAAATAAAAAGGCAAAAACTGCCTTTTCAGAATATTTGTACTCAAATAGAGAATCCTAAAGAGATCGACAAAATGTTCTGTTTCTCTTTTTTTCTTTTTGTTTTAGATACTCTGATTGACTCAAAAGAGATTTTATTGCATCATGCCTGATAAAGATGTGTTAGAGGCCTACAAAAAAAGGAACAAAAAGTGCCTTTATGCATTAGCCAAATAAGTTCATCCCAGCCTGGCAAATTTGACAAAAACAGCACAAGCTGTTCATTTTTAATGGCTGTTGAGTGGGCTGACTTGGGTCGTGGAGAATTGGCTCTGCTTTCTCATCCTGCAAAATAATGTATGAGGCTCTACAGAGCTTCTCTACGAACAGACACAGATTTGATTAAGAGCCAGAACTGTTCCATTACTGCCATGTTGTTAACTCACTAAGACATCAGTTCTCCTCTTCGTCATCTGCGTTACTCTGCCCAAATTCAGCTGCTTTCGTCTGACCGCTGCTCTGCCTCAGATTGGGATAAATTTAACTTTCTCTAGACGTCCTGAACTAGCTCACTTAATGTCCAAAACAAGCTGGGTTTCTTTTTCCCTGAAGTTACTCATAATTGGGCAATGAACTAACATCTCATAGTTTGGAAGGCCCCACAAATGGCCTTTTTTGGAAAAAGCATCTGATTAGGGATAAGCGAAAAGATGACGAACCTGGAAAACAGAGTCCAACGGACACACATCATCAGCTGAAAAGTGTTCAGATACCCTGAGAGCTTCTCAAGAGCACATGTTGACTCGCTGATCTCATATGTAACCGGTGGGCGGCTGGTGACATCATGCAGTATCGCTTTACACAGCAGAACTTGATTTTATGGCTTAATAACCTTCTTGGATGAAACAATGCATTCTAGGGACTTCGGCCAAGAGCATGGGCTTGAGTTGCTGAGGTTGTTTTAATCATAGAAAGGGTGTAACAAAGAGAGGTTTTGGATTATATCTGAAGAAGTTTTATTAGTGCTGTTTAATAAAGGAATAGTTCACCCAAAAATGAAAATTTGCTCAAAATGTACCATTCAAGATGCAGATGAGTTTGTTTCTTCACCGGAACAGATTTGGAAGTTTGGATCACTTCTTTACCAATAGATGTTCTTCAGTGAATGGGTGCCGTCAGAGTGAGATTCCAAACAGCTGATAAAAATCATCACAATAATCCACAAGTAATCCAAACAACTGTTCAGATGAAGAAACAAACTGATCTACATCTTGGATGGCCTGAGGGTGAGTAGATTTTCAGTAAATTAACATTTTTTGGGGTTAACTATTTCTACATTTGCCATTTTGCTCAAATTCATAGTTTGTGCCCCAGATGTGAACGATACCTCAAATTGTGTGGCTTGTTGAGAAGTATGCTATTACATTATTTGAAAGACCATATGACATGCTATTTTCATGTAGATGCTATCATATTTTAGGCAGGTACAATTTTAGTAACTGCTAGAACAGTTTGTAATCATAGAGCAAAGATTATTATAGCCTCTTAGTTACTGTGCAAACAGAGGGTTGCATGTGTGTTTATTTTAGTCCACAAAATATATGTAATTCAGCATGGCAGATTTTACATTTTATTTCTCAGGAGCAGCGATTGCATCATCTTCCCCCATTTGAGCTCATACCTTCTAAAGAGTTTCGTCTCCCATCAGCTCCCACCACCACATCAAAGTCGAAGTCGGCCACAGGGTGATCCGCAGGCCGGATCTCTGCCCTCCAACCCGGCCCTGCAGAAACAAACACAATCATTCAGCTGCAAAAGTGACAAATCACAATTGAGATCTCCAAGAGAACAATGAGATTTTCAGATGTTTCTACTGAGAATATGACACTAGTACTCTTGAGTTTCAGAGAATATCTCAACAGTGTCTCAAACTGTGCTCAGATTTGGCATTGTCAAATTCTGAAGACATCCGAGTTTTAAATATGAACACAAACATTTCTCATATAACTTTCCAAAGACTTAATTATCTGAGTTGCTACCACTTTAATTTCATAGCTCTGTACTCTTACTGCATGCCAGGCGTTGACTCATTGGTTAGGAGGAATAAAATTAGACATATTTCAGATGATTCTACTAAGAAAACAACTCTAGTAATCTACATATGTTTACTCTTGAGTTTAAGAAGATATCTTAATAATGACTCAAACTCCAAAAACGTAATTAACTGAGTTGTTATCCACATCAAGCTTATGTGGTGTCTTATAAAACTATGGGATATTAAGTTAAGTAATCAAAGTATTATCCAAACAAAGGGCAGCTACTTTGAAGAAGCAAATATATAAAATAGCATTTCGTGATGGCTACATAACCATATATTACCATCTGTGTTGTTTTTTATAGTATTATCTTCTTTTCAGTAGCCAAAAACAGCAAAGCATGGCACTAGCAACACGAAGGTCATGGGTTCAGTTCCCAGGGAAACTGGATAAACCAAACTGATAAAAATTTCAAATGTGTACTTTGAACGCAATGTAAGTCACTTTTGAATAAAAGCGTCTGCCAAACGTAAATGTAAAAGTTTACTATTCTAGAAGTAGCAATAATAAACATTGAGTAGGTGTGTCCAAACTTTCGACTGATGTCTAGCCTGCATCTGGGGCCGTCAGTCTCACCCTCATTCTCCTGGTCCTCTGGAGGCTCCACCAGCTTGACGAACTCCACATTTACGTGAAACTCCACACCTAATGACAGCCCAGCCCAGAAAACCTTAAACAGCTCCAAAGAAAATGTTATAATACAGAGACAGCAAAATCAAAAGAACCCAGATTCATCAAGATGGGTATAGATTAACATTTCAATACTCAAGCTTATGTGGTGTCTTATAAAACTATGGGATATTAAGTTAAGTAATCAAAGTATTATCCAAACAAAGGGCAGCTACTTTGAAGAAGCAAATATATAAAATAGCATTTCGTGATGGCTACATAACCATATATTACCATCTGTGTTGTTTTTTATAGTATTATCTTCTTTTCAGTAGCCAAAAACAGCAAAGCATGGCACTAGCAACACGAAGGTCATGGGTTCAGTTCCCAGGGAAACTGGATAAACCAAACTGATAACAATTTAAAATGTGTACTTTGAACGCAATGTAAGTCACTTTTGAATAAAAGCGTCTGCCAAATGTAAATGTAAAAGTTTACTATTCTAGAAGTAGCAATAATAAACATTGAGTAGGTGTGTCCAAACTTTCGACTGATGTCTAGTCTGCATCTGGGATATATATATATATATTTATTTATTTATTTATTTATTTATATAAATATATAATTTAATATAATTTAATGTGAAACAAATACATTTTTGGAAACAAATATAATAATAATAAATATAATTTTTATAATATAATATATATAATTGTTGATGTGAGACAATAGCTTGTTTTAATGATTTATTGCTCGTTCAATATAAGTAAATGAAACAATATATAAATTGGAAAATCTCAGTTTACTTGCCCTTTAAGTTAACTGTACTTAAATACTTGATTTAATAGGATTAGCTACAATTATTAAATTTAATTGAGGTAGACAGAGTTATTTTATTTTATTTATGTATTATTATAGTTTTTATTAATATTTTGATTTAGCTCTTATTTTTAGATTTTCTGTTTTCATTTTATTTTATTTTTCATTTCTAACAATTATTTCTAGTAAAAATGTAATGCTTTGTCGTTTATCTATTTATTTATGGTTTAATTTATTTAGTTATTTTTGTTATTTATTATTAGTAATTTTAGTAATTTAGTTTATTTCTCATTCCGGTTAGTAATTTTAGTGCTGTAAATTTATTTAAATGTATTTAAATTAATTGGCAACTCAACATTTTTTTTATTTCATCTTTATTTCAGTTAACAAATATGCTTTTAGTTTGAGTTAATTATGATAACTATAGTGCGTGAATGAGTTTTCTCAAATGATTTGAGTAGACTCAACTTATTAGGGTTTACAATGTAGATTTTTGTGTGATATATCACTGTAGATAAACACAACAAAGGTAACATATACTGCATATATAGAAAAAAGAAGGGCTATCAAAAGAATGAGAAGAGGAACTAAAAAATGACTACTGCTTTAAGCAAGGAAGTTATGATAGGTTGCTTATAATATGCAGAGAATGATAAGTTGTTTCAGAACTCACTGATGTGGTCTATTGCTCCAGCACAGAACTTTCCATAGAACTTCTTGGCTCCTAAGGCCCTGAGGTCATGAATGGTGTAGGGCCAGAGATGTAGGACATTGTTCCTGGAGAATGTATCTCTCTTCTCTATTACCACCACTTTGGCTCCGAGGAAAGCTAACTCGATGGCAGTCCGCAAGCCGCAGGGGCCCCCTCCAATTATCAAGCACTGAAAGTTACAATCAGAAATTCAGAGAATCAGCAGGGTAAGAATTTAACCAAGGTCACTATTTTCATTTAAAAAACAGAGAAAGTACAGAACAAATGGGTGACTTTTGTTTTCATTGCTTTTTAAATTCCACAAATACACATAAAAGAAGGCAATATAGATGTCTAAGCCATCGCTTCCTCTCTAGGACCTCTGTGCATTTTATAATACCATGTATATTTTTCTTTATTGAAATTCAAGGAGCCTATTTTACTCTGTGGTGAGCCAACAGTTCTTGCCCATTCTTTCAGGAAGTATCCTAGAAAGCAGAAAATCTTAGCAGACAAGCTCAAAGAAAAGTAAGCACTAACGCAAATGTTTATCCAAGCACCACATCACAACCAGTGCCAATAACTGGAGGCACGTGTGTGATTTCATCAGCATTAATTCATAATTACAGTCCTGTCATATCAAAGGCATGATTCATGCATCAGACTTGTATGAATGCATGAAGTCAAGACGTCAGGTTCCGGGACGTGTCTGAGAATGCCTGCTGTGGGTATGACTTCATCCTCTCTGGTTTAGTGATGAGAGATCACTTTTTATGTGGAGAGATGATCTTTACACAAATCTATTCTTGAGTCACAGAAGAGAGCCACGTATTGGACTCACATCATGCAAAGCTTTAGCTCATTTTCAGCCCAGATGGTAAAATGTGACTTTTTTCTACTTGATCTATTCATTTCCTTCCCCTCCTATGATTTCCCACACACATGGCCAATTTCAGGATGGTTAATTGACCTCAAAATAAGGAAGCAGCAATGAGGGCAGCTAGCGCTTCCTGACACAGTGTGCATACAGCAAAAACTCTCAGCCTGTGCTGTGATCAATATTGTGATACACTCGGGTTTCAGCCCCTCCTGATCCCGCATCTTATCATGTTTATGTAGACCTCAATGCCTGTGTGGATAGTTGTCCCTGGCACTGTGTCAGTTGTGGCTATTTACAGATCTCAGCCTGCTAGAAGCAGAGATAATTTAATTAAAGGCCTTCAGCTTTTATTAATAAAAAATAAGACAGAGATTTAGACATTCTATGCTTAGTGTGTGTTTCAAACCTGTTTCTTACTAATATATTTGTGTGTGTGAATAACAGGGTTGACAGTGCCAATAGGAATGTGCATGTACTGTTGAGCAACGGGGTTAATAGTATCAAAAGTTTATTTTAATGTAACAGGGTTGAATGTACCAATTGGCCTCCATGTGTGTATTTTTGAATAACAGGGTTGAATGTTTCAATATGAATCTGTGTGTGTGTGTGTGTGTGTGTGTGTGTGTGTGTGTTTTTAGTAACAGAGTATCAGTAGAAATTGTGTATTTTAGTAACAAGATTGCAGGTATTAACAAAAGTGTGTTTGCGTATTTGTGAATAACAGGGTTGTAAGTATCAATATTGACTGTTTTCTGAGTAACAGAGTTGAAAATATCAACAGAAATTGAGTATGTTTAAGTAACAAGATTAAAAGTATCAGTAGGAGTGTTTTTGTGCATTTGTGAGTAAAAGGGTTGAAATAATCAATATAAATTGTGTATTTGACATAACCAGTAGAAATTGTGTATTTTAGTAACAAGATTGCAGGTATTAACAAAAGTGTGTTTGCGTATTTGTGAATAACAGGGTTGTAAGTATCAATATTGACTGTGTTTTCTGAGTAACAGAGTTGAAAATATCAACAGAAATTGAGTATGTTTAAGTAACAAGATTAAAAGTATCAGTAGGAGTGTTTTTGTGCATTTGTGAGTAAAAGGGTTGAAATAATCAATATAAATTGTGTATTTGACATAAGATTGCTGGTATTAACTGGAGTGTGTTTGTGAGTAACGGTGCTGAAAGTATCAATAGCAGTGCGTAGCAGTAACGGAGAAGATATTGCGGTTGGAGGAATGCATACAGAGAAAACAAGCAAGTATTAAATGGCTGAGGGGAGATCTGATATTCATCACTGCTGCAGGTATGAGGCTGGCAGACGCAGGTGGGCACTGCACTGTCTGGACAGGTCTGTCTTTGCACTGCTGCTTTTGATTACACTGGATGGACCAGTTACCACTAGCACAGACTGACAGGCCAGGTGCACAGTTTCTGTTTGACTTCACTTTAACTAAAAGCCACAGAGAATGAACAAAGGCAGCCTGTTCAGAAAAGACAGAGAGCCACGCAACCACTCCATCCCCATTTACCATCCCCACAGACTAATGAAACGCTCCATCAGTCAGAGCAGATATGAACACAATGATAACTCTTTTGTTTCTGCTCATCCCCACCCTGAAACCGAGCAAAACAGTAGTCTAGAGGTGAAGTTTCCTGTTGAGTCAGCATGGAGCTGTTTCCTGTCCATCAGTGGGTGCTTGAAATCATGCATTTTTTGGGGGTTGCCCATAGTAAAGACAAAATAACAAATGATAAAAATACGAATACATTTTCTAATGAAATCAGGATTTACCTAATGAAATCAAATTGAGAGCAAATGGAGACAAACACTGTTTGTCAAATTTTTTTACTTGAGAAAAAATTCAGTAGTTTCAGAAGAGATCTCAAAAAAGACAGATTTGCCAGACCAAAGTCTCAAAACCCTCGCGTTTTGTGCTGCACTTTTTATAAAAGAAAAATACAAAAAGCCAAGGCAAAAAATCCGCACACCAAACGAAATGAAAATTTCAAGGTCCTCTGAACAAGAGTTTATTCCTGAAGATTTACATAGAGGTGACAACAAAAACTAAAGTGCACAAACAAAAAAATTACTCTGCACACACACACACACACACACACAAAGCAAACGTTTCAGTCCTGGCTGGACTATCTTCAATGCTAACTATTCCAACACTGGTTAACAAACATTTAAGGAGATCAGGGCACAAAACTGAATCAGCTGGACAATTAATTAAAGATGCAATAAGTAATTCACCGCCCATATGGGTGGGTTTAACTAAAAAAAAAAACCTTGATGGACAGAAAAAACCTCTAAAGAAAGCAAGAAAGATTTTAAGTTTCTTGCAAAAGCTGCACATTAAAAAAAACATTCCTGAGCACTGCATCTTGCGTTTTTAGGCATAAAGGCGCGTTCTGTGTGTGAACGACCCATTATTGTATCTCAATAATCGTCCTACAAATTTTAGTAGAAAAATCTAAGACAAATATAATACTAATTAATTATAATTAAATTAGTTTTATATTAAATTATATTATTTTACTTTTTAAATTGATATTTTTTTATAAATAATTTTTTTTATTAAATTAAAATAAATTTTTTATTAATGTATGTTATTATATTTTATATTAAAGATTATAACTAATTATAACTGTGGATATTTAATTTCCTAATCTATAAAAGAACAACCTCGGAGCAATAAAAAATATTTTTAGTGTGTCCTCTTTTTAAAATCCAGCCAATCACTGTACAGGCCAACGTCTGCTGTAAAATTGCATCACACCACTGCCACGTCAGGCTGGTTCAGCCTCTTTTATCTCGTGGAAAAGTCTGCAGGACAGGAACTGGCAACATAATGCCAGATGAGACTTCCTGGTGAAAGCCACGGTATGTGTTGAACCAACAGTCACTTTACACAAAGCCCAGTGGTCCAGAGACCACCTCACTGCAGGACCAATAACTTAAACCCAGACACACATACTTATCCTGCTTCTAGCACACAATGTGATCACAGTTTGCTTCAGCAGTTTGCTCAATTAGACATCACACCACTAGAGAAAGCTGCTCGATGGACTGAAGCAGACCACCAGGAGAGCAGCCCAGATTCACAAGCATTAAGGCCAGTATGAGAATAAAAAAGGCAGGTGAATTGGCTTATACCTCTAGTGTAATGAGTGTTAGCGTATAATGCCACTGTATGATTTGTTTGCATTGCCCAAGTAGTCACGCATCACAAAGTCACAGCTGTAAGCATATGTCTAGCAGACTGCACACATGCTCAAACATACACAAAGAGAAGAACTTGACTTTCCCAATGTGGGAAACAGTGCCTCTTCGCATGAGCTCACAGAGTCTGGGTCAGGAGCTCACACTGCTCAGACTGAGGAACGGCTCCAAGTATTTACCACAAAATCCAGTGGTGAAACCACAACACCACCCCTGAAAAACAGCCCAAAAATGTATGAGAAGAATTTAAAAGACACTTTTTGAGTCAACTTTATTTAACTCCTGCTCAATGTGGGAATCCATTTAAGAGTCATTCTGTGAAACAGATCAAGTATTAATAAAACTGCATTGTGCCATACCAAACTAACATTAAAAAACACTAATATATATTTGGAAATTAATTTTTTTTAAAGAAATTATTGCTTTTATTCAATAAGAATGCAACTGATCAAATATGATAGTAATCATTGCAAAAGATTTCTATTTCAAATATATGCTCATCATAAGAATCTAAGAGTTTCCTGAAAGTTTTAACAAAAAAATGTTAAGCAACACTTTTTTTAACATTAATAATAAGAAGAAATGTTTCTTGCACAGCACATCATCAAATTTAGGATGATTTCTAAAGGATTGTGTGTCACTGAATGCGGCAGTAATGATTTTTTTTTTTTGCCATCACAGAAATAAATTACATTTTAAAATATATTAAAACAAAATAATATTGTTTCAAATTTTAATAAAAATGTATAATGTTACTGTTTTTACTAGCGCTGTCAAACTATTAATCGTGATTAATCGCATCCAAAGTAAAAGTTTTGTTTACATAATATATGAGTGTGTGCTGTGTATATTTATTATGTATATATAAATACACACACGTGCATATATTTCAGAAAAATATGTTATGTTTATACATCAAATATATTTATATATAATATAAATTATATGACTATAAATATATATTAATGTAAATATTTTCAAAATATACGTATACTGTATGTGTGTGTATTTATATATACATAATAAATATACACAGTACACACACATATATTATGTAAACAAAACTTTTATTTTGGATGCGATTAATCGCGATTAATCGTTTGACAGCGCTAGTTTTTACTATATTTTTGATCAAATAAATGCAGCCTTGGTGAGCACAAGAGACTTCGTTCAAGTTATTGTTACTTCTAAAATATAATAATATAAAATAATATGTGAGAAGAAAAAAAAAAGAGTAATAAAAAAAGAAATTAGCACAGCTAAAATTGTGTATAATCAGAATCAACTCTTCCTGAAACCTGTGTAGTAATCAATAAACAATTTACACATGTTAATAAGAATGATACAGAAATAACAAATATCACTGCATGAATTACAATTTAAAAATTATTTTAGCATATTTTGCTTGCAGTGAATGTCTAAACTTTTAGATTAAGCTTCTGTGTTCTTTGCAATGGTGATAAAGCCAGTGTAAAACAATAAACCAGGCAGTTCAGCTGTCCCGCTGGTTGATAAAGAGACAATGAGCTCATATCCTGGGCAGACTGTGAATCTGGCAGACAGTTGTAGGCTGGTGAGCAGTGATATCGTGTCACTCTTCCTAAACCCCCCCCAACTCAACTCAAGTCACAACAGGATGAAGGGGCAGATGGTCTGTTATTCATCAGGATGTTAAAACACCTTTCCAATGACTGTTTAATGTGCAGAATCAACTAAATAAGCCATTTGAAGGTTGGCTTCCAGATGAGAGAAGACACTCTCTGTTGCTCTCAAAACATTGCTTTGTCTGTTTCAGCAATTCAGAAAGTCAGCCTCTGACTCAACCAATGGCGTGAGTTTGAGATGCAACAAGCTGTTTGTCTGATGAATGGCGATGGAAACAGAGAAAAAGTTGTGTTTAAGAAACCCTAAAAATTCAAACTAGTAAGGGTCCAATGCTTAATATGTGTATTTAAATACTCCTATGAGCCATTTTGCAGTTACAGCATACCTGGCTTGTCTGAACCAGTGCCATTAGGCAACACTGTTCTGGCTTTGATTAAAGTGTGCAGAACAGCCCTTCGTCAGGACTACTGTATATAATTACCATCTTTATTACAAAGAGGTAAATTACACTCTAAAAAGAGCTGCATAATTACGCTCCTTTACATCAGAGACGTTTTATTACCTTTTATACCTTTTATTGCACGTATGAAGTGAACTTGTTAAATTATGCTCTCTTTGAAACACCAAACACTCACTAACAATAAGCTGAGCTTGATTCCTTGCTGCCTTTTAAAGTAAGTGTGTGTGTGTGGGTGTGTGAGAAGGGGGAAGTTCTCATAATGAACAAGACAGAGACAGGTTTGGAAATGTACAGGAATTTGTACTATCTTTATAATTTTGCGATATATAAGATTAAGTGTCAGGTACGTTTTGTGTATGAAACGGGATATTGATAGGGATATTATGACTCAAGTTAAAATTTCAAAAATGAAAATTCTGCATTTGTTCACCCTCGTGTCTTTCCACAGACATCTGTTTAACTTCAGAAAAACTAAATCCATCCATCCAGATATGCTTTATATTTTCTCCTTATTTTTGTCTATCCATCAAAAGTCAACACAACCAAAATTCAAAAACCAAATAAAGACATTGTAAAAGTAATCATTTTATCATCATCACTTTATTTTAAGGTTCAATTCTCGCTATTAACAAACCATTAACTCTGACTTTTGCCTCAATAAACTCCTAATCTGCTGCTTATTAATAGTTAGTAAGTTAGTTGTTAAATTTAGGTGTTGGGTAGGATGAGGGATGCAGAATATGGTCATGCAGAATGTGTGCTTTATAAGTACTAATAAACAGCCAATATCTTAATAATATGCATGCTAATAAGCAACTAGTTAATAGTGAGAATTGGTCCCTATACTAAAGTGTTACTAGTAATCTATTCGAATCCAAGTCTTCTGATGAAAAATGATTGATTTCTATTAATCTAATATGGTAAACATAAGCTGAAATGTCTGTGCTTGATGTGCACGAACCAATGAGATTTGTTCTTGCATGTAAAACTCGCATATTGAGCTTATGTGACATGAGGGTGAGAAAATTATGGCATTTTTGGGTGAACTATCCCTTTAAACTTGACGCCTTGATAGTACAATGATTGGATGGATGCTAAGGTGGTGCTTTGCAGTTGCGATGGGGTGTTCTGGCAACAATAAATCAGTTTGTCATAAGAAAATCCACACAATTCATTATGATTCATTATCAGTTCACAAATGGCACAGGGCGACTTACAGTATGTGTGACTTACTGTATGTGTTATAGTATGAGCAATAGTAGATGTTTGCCTCACCACACACCACAATTAAACTATAATAAAAGAGTCAGAGAGCACTCGTCTAATGAACAACATGTGTTCATGATGTTATATATATAATGATGTCATAGCATACAAAAACCATAGCCCAAAATCAGGGCAAATCTTAAATGGAATCTATAAACCACCTAAATGTTTGGTTTATAAAGATCTCAACAAAGGTTTGCCAGCTCATTTAAACGTCATAACATATTCCAGTATTGTTATTGTCTTGGCTTTTTGCAAGCTTACCTTGATGCCCTCGCAGGCTTTGCCTTTCTTGTACTCTTTGTGGCTGGCTCTCTTGTCCAGCTTGCTCCAAAGGGCTTTGGCTTTCCAGCAGGTCACCATGCTCTTCAGGTCGCTGTAGAAGGTGCTGTGCTCCAGAGGGTCAAGCTCCAGGTAACTGCACATAATATTAAAGGCCTGCAGGGTGCTTTTACAGTCAGTGGCCTGAACAAAGTTCTCAAATAGCCGTCCTGCCTGGTTCTTCTCATCTTCGGCTTCACCCATCGTCTATTTTGCGGGAGTGTAGACACTGTGCTTGTGATATCTTGCTCCACTGAACAGCTACACCCACACTTCAGTCTCCTCACTCATGGTGAAATCTGAAAAAAATTATAAAATGTCTATTAATTTGAATATTTAAAAAAAAATGTATAATGCTTGGACATTCAAGTCAAGTCATTGTCATGACGCTCATTTAAAAAAAAAAATCTTTCATTATCATTTCTTAGAAAATAATAAAAAAATAAAAATAAAATAAATACATTCCCTTTTTTCTGCCAAATTAAAGTCATGTGATGCAATTATGAAAATGCGATTTTTAATGAAAATGCAAGGTTAGTTCACAGTGTAAAATCTCATATGATACACCAAAAAAGTATGATATATATAAAATATGAATTCATATCTAATTCATTATACAGGTAAAATAAAATATATAAATAGAATATATAAAATTTTGCATATTACTATTGATTAAAAATTGTATAAAAGTTTTTAAAACCATAAATACAAAAATTTAATTTCTAAGAATTTACACCTGCTTTAAACATTTTTTTTTAATATTTAAATATTTGTATCTTTATCTTTGACACTCATTGACGTCATTGCCAGGAAAAAAACTATATAAAATGTTAATCCACTGCAATTTAGGTTGCCATACTATACTATTGCCTAAGGCAGGAGGCCACACAAACTGCAGAAACCTACTCCTTCAAATGTTCGTAATCTGATACATTAAAAAAGTCCATCAACAACAATAGAAGATGAAATATCTTATTTTTTTGACAGGCATGAAAAAAGCAGAGCCTGTATCGGTTACATCTTAACAGCGGTTTGACGTCAGATACAACGCATAATCCATCCACAGAATCTTACTGTTGACTGGAGATAACAGCTGATTTAACCAGACTGCCAGCCATGCACTTTTGCATGAAAAAACTGTTTATCTTGCGGCTTTGCCCTGCTGAACCGTGAACAGGACAGAGGTGCGCTTTTGCAGGCAGTTGGGGACACGTCGCTACCCTGGCAACAAACTCCACTGGTGTGTATTTTTAGTGAACTCCCTTATACAATTTCAATAAACACACTTTAAAGACGCCACAAAACATAAGCACAATAAACCTAACACCACATAGAAAAGCCCTTCACTGTAATTATACACGCACAGTCTGTGAATATTTTATTAGATACAAAATGTCTAAATGTTCATAATATGTGCTGAAAATGAAATCATGTCCTTTCTGTTTGCATATGAAGATGCCTTGAAAGCCCATGAAAGCAGACATGGTATGTTTGCTGTGGTAATACTAGACTCATTTTACTCCAGAACATATTTTTCTTTGGGACAGGACATCCCCTTGATTTTGTGGTGAGTCAATGTCTAGTGGTATAAAGGGAAAGACAAGCATATTTTTTACTCTTTTTATATCCCTTTCTTTCAAATGAACCATTATTGTATGATTTCCTTCTTCTTTAGAACACAGAAGGAGATATTTAGCAGAATGTTCAAGCTGCTCTGTTCTATACAACAAAAGTAGATGCTAACCAGAGGACAAAACATTATATCTCAATATTTTCTGGAATTTCGTCAGTAATGATAATTAGACAATATTTTGCTTGAGTGTGTTTTTGTGCTTTTCATATTCTTCTTGTTCTGTACAGTGGTTAGTTCACAGCACTAACAGAAATTAACTTAATTAGGCTACCTTTTTAAAAAAAAAAATAACTTCACCCTTAAGGGTCGATGTTTGCCACCTTTAATTGATTTCCTAAGGCATTTTTATGTTTACAAAGGCATTTTCATTTTTAAAATCTTATTAGATGCAGACTAAGCAAATGAAATCTGTATTTTTGCACTGCAGAAGTAGCACAGAAACTGTATCTAAATCAGCATTTAGATGAAGTTGCACTGCAATTACAACTTCATAAATAATATGAGATTAATGTATTTTTTATGCTTGTAAATATGAAAAAACCACAAGCAGGTGTCGACAAGTCACTGTCTTAATAAGTGAGTCACTGAATCATTCAAACTGTTTGTTCAAACAGCTGATTCATTCAAGAATGAAGCAAGTGACTTATAAATGGATCAGTGAATCACTGATTCGTTCAAAAAAGCAGATTCCTACAGGAACGAAACCCCACTGTGTGTTGCACAGACTCGACAGCTTTGTTCGGAACTATTTTTGTTTGCGTAAACAGACAATTTTGACATAAAATGGTGTCTAAAATGTAACTTACAATATTGTATTCTTGAATAAAATCAATATCCCATTTTGCAATCATGCTTATTTAGACAAAACAGCATGTGTGCTTGTGTGATATTGCTTAACTATATCGCACAGGAATATAAAGGACAAAAACTCACCATATTGCATATTGAAATTTTGACAGTCTAACTCCATTCTGTATCCCACAGTGAAAGCATGCAATCTCAAGACATGTTTGTTTTGTTTTTTGCAAATTGAGTTACATTTGTATCGTAGACAATACATATTGTTCACTTCAAGCTTCATAAAGGACAACACCATGTAAAGTCGTAGGCTAAAATGTATCTCTGTATTCCCAGAAAAATCTTAAGGTACTAACTTTGACTATGCAAAAGCTTAAACATTAAGATAATGAAACAGATGTGGATGAGCCAAACTGTAATTCTCAGGTGAACTATTGCTTTAAAAACAGACATGAAGCTGAAACACGGGCAGTAGTAAATGTATCTCTGCAGTTACCTGAATATTTCAGTGCTTCCATAAAGTCCTTCCCTCCCTCTTGGTCATTATGTATACATATCATTAATACTGTTATAAACTTGCAGTCAAATATCCACTTCTACCGTGAGACAGACAAATCAGTCTGCATTATGAGGCATGATGGCAGTTGTAGTGAGGCCAGATCTCAGTGCTGGGTGTGACTTTAGGACACTGGTTTGCTAGTGGTGGTCTAAGTGAGGGGATGTGTCAGCTCTTGTCATGTGGGTGTTTGATGAACTCCTTCTGGAGACAGACGCCTGCGTACACTGCATTCCAGCAGCCAGAAGCCGAACATAGTTGTGCATCAGACCACACCTCCACAGTCACTCTTATTTATATGAGTGTGAGAACAGGCTCTGCAGAGGCACTGCAACGGACACAACTGAAAAATATGAGAAACACCTTAAATGTACTGCTTTGTATTTGTATTATGCACCTGATTAAGATATAAGGGTCTCACTGCATTAAAAAGTTGTCAAATCATGTGATCTGCATACAGAGGCGGACAGTAACTAAGTACATTTACTTGAGTATTGTACTTAAGTACACTTTTTGAGTATCAGTACTTTACTTGAGTATTATTTTTTCTGGAAACTTATGACTTTAACTTCACTACATTTGAAAGACAAATATTGTCCTTTCACTCCACTACATTTCTATCAAGATCCTCAAAGTAGAAAGTCGTTAGCAGCTTTGAAAGTCAGTGGGTGATTTTTTTCTTCTCTAAAAACGGTCTTTTTTCAGACAGTTGATCAGTAATCACTCTTGGGACTACATGAAGTGATTTCCCAGCATTTTTTGAGCACTGACCAGTTCCAAATGTGATATTTATTTACAATAATAAGTAGTTAATATTGTGGTTTATATTAGACACAATATTGTCTGAATTTGCTAAATTGTGTAAGTGAAAATATTACATATAAAGCCACAGAAGAACTGTTGTGTGTCTCCTAATAAAACACAAAAAGTTTTTGACTGAAGCAGCACTGCAGACCATTCTGTGTGTGGCATCAAAGTACAGCGAGAGCGATCAGACAGCATTTTTAAAATTTTAATTCCAAAGATACTACAAGCTAGTCAGTGTATTCAGTAGGTGTAATGTATTGTAAGTTGCTTTCAAAGGTATTGCAATTATTATATACAACAATAACAAAACAGTGCATGGACACAAAAAAGGAAATTTACTTTTGGTATTAAGTACTTTTAAAAGCAAGTACTTCTGTACTTTTACTTAAGTAAAAATCTGTTTTTACAACTTTTACTTGTAATGGAGTAATATTTGACCAGCAGTATCTGTACTTTCCCTCAAGTAATGGAGTTGTGTACTTTGTCCGCCTCTGTCTGCATACCATAAGAGAGCCAAACTGATTTTAAGTTGTGTCACTTCCTTCTGAATACGTGACATTTTTTATTGATATGTTAGGAATTAAATAATACTTGCTTAAAGGGGTCATATGATGCTTTTTTAAAGATCATTATTTGGTGTATTTGGTGTAAAAGAATATGTTGACATGCTTTAATGTTCAAAAAACACATTATTTTTCAAATACTGTACATTATTGTAGGTCCTCTATGCCCCGCCTCTCTCAAACGCTTCGTTTTCTACAAAGTCCCTCCTTCCGACAAGCGCAGTCTGCTCTGATTGGCCAGCTGACCCAGTGCATTGTGATTGGCCGAACACCGCAAGCACTCGTCGGAAATGTAACGCCCCTTACCATAATCGCGAGCTTCATCTTTCAAAATAAATGTAAAGACAGAGCCCGAAAGGGGAACAGAGTCGCGTGACAGACACAGTGATGAAGCTGGTCTCTCTCGCTCTCTCTCTCACACACACACACACGCGCATATGCTGCTTCAACACTAACTGCGGTTACTGAAACCACGCCTTCTTTCTTTGCGTGCACATTTGGGCGGCATTATGCTAATATTTCCACATAGTGAGGTAGATATGTGGGGGCGTGTTAGAACGAGCCGTTTTAGGGGGGCGTGGCAGAGTCTTAACTTTGATAAAGAATATCTCTTTGGTTTTGAGACTTTAGTCTTTGCAACTTCAGGGATCTTATCTATGCACAATCAGCTTGTAACACTCCAAAGAGAAAGGGAAACTTGAAATCGCATCATATGACCCCTTTAAAGGGATAGTTCACACAAAAATGAAAATTCTGTTATTAATTACTCACGCATGCACACGGATACGTTGTTTACATTCAGATCAAAGCGTAAACAATGTAAACAACAAATCCACATACATACGTTGTTTACGTATGTGATACTCTCCAAAATGGCACTAAAGGGTGACGCGGACAGTGTTGTGCAAGTTACTTCCAAACTGTAATACATTATAGATTACG